TTGAAATTATTCAATTTCATCCCTTTTTTCTTACATTTCCATTTGTTTTCTTGTGCCATGCACAGAATAAGTTACTACAGGTTCATTCTTGATTTCAGCTTTCCAGGAGTTGATAATGCGAAAGCTGGAAGAAATCAATCAGCAGGTGATCTTGATGTAGCAGGGTCAAAGGTCATAGCTGACCCACTCCTCTTTGAAAGCCATTATCTCCTCAACCAATTCACTTAAATTGCTGAAACTTGCAGTCATCCAGCCAGATCCCACACAAACATTCTCCAAAAATATGCCTCGCAAAAAACGGTTACTAAAATCTTCAACAATCATATCAAGGAGTTCCCTCAGCTGTCAAAGTTGAAGTGCAAATGCATAGTGAAAAAGCACAGCAATAAATCACAATGCTGCTGTCTGACTGATGCCTTTATCAGATATGCATTAAGCAAGGGTAAACTTCTTTTCTGCCCTTGTTGATGCAGATAGGGAAAAGGATCCTGAGGTTTTCTGGCGCAACTTGGAAAATATAACTCTGCATCACGTTCGTAATGAACATGTTTGGATCAAGGATGGAGAGTTACGGACTTGCGATTCCATTCTCAGGAAGTGTTTGGTTGTGGGAAGTGTAAGGAGGATGATGACTTGTCCCATTGCAGGAGCCATATACCTTACACTTCTTCCATGACTCTCATGTGTCCTCTCCATCTTGCCCTCTACCAGATTGAGTGCCTCCGACGTGATCCAAGCCTCCAATGTGATCGATACATTCACCTTGAAGTCAGTAAAGGTCATAGTTCCTTACCCAAAGCTGCTCATAATGTGTATATTTGCTACCATTTGAAGTCTGTGCAGTTAGAGCGCTTAATTATTGCGTGTTGACAAACCTTGCCGTTTTACAGAGTGTGATTAATTGGGCATCTGAAGTATATGGAAATCAGTACTATTGGCTCCATGCACCAGTGGCGTAGCGAGGGGGGGGCAGCAGGACCAATAGTCCATCCAATGGACATGTCCAAGGATTTTCCTTGGATGAGACATTTAGTCATCCAGGGGATGTCTGAGGAGGATATACATTGGATGTCCAAGTGTCCATAAGCGTATGTCCAATGGATTTATCTTGGATCAAAATGGATATATTTTGTGCTTTGGAGAAACTAAGCACTTCAGTTTGTAATGTTTTAAGAGGCATTCCAGTTTCTATATTTGATGAGAAATTGCAGTCTGATGTGATGATTCAGGAGGCTTCAGGCATCCGCTGAATCTGCATCTGTAGTTCTAGCTGACAATTGATGAGCTATGCCTCCACTTAATCTGACATTTGGCCCTCTAAAAATCAATGTGGACCTTTCCTACCTTTCATAGGTCTCTGAATGGTCCCACTTCACTGCAAATATGTCTTTCATGATGCTAAATTTTCAAAATCAATATTGATAACCTGTAAATATTGTAGCAAAATATATGGAAGTGTAGCTTAGAGTGCCTTGTTATTTTTCACCAACTGAATTCACCTGATTGGATGCTAGGTAATGAAATACCTTCTCACAGTTTGGGCAGACTAGGTCTTCTGGCTTCATTTCTCGTAGTCTTTCCCTTGCAGCTGTTACTCTCTTTTTTTCTGGGTTTCTTAGGGGTTCCTCTCACTGGTTGAACACAAAGTTCAGGGAGACATCGAAACCTGGTTAAGGAATGCACCTCCAAAATGGACAAAGTAAGTTTCAATGGTTTTGTGAACAAGCCTTTTTTGTTTTCAGTTTTGAGTAGAAGGCAAATGGGAATCATTCTTTTAAGTGAGGAAGGTGATCTGATCTATTCATTCTGGTGGGGTGAATTCAAAATCAGAGTCATCTCTTTCCATGTTGCAGAGAGCAAGCTAAGAAGACAAGTTTTGCTTTCCAAGATGAAGATGAAGATGAAGCTGAAACCTAGATAAACACCTGAGCTATTAATCTGGCATTTCACAAATCCTATGGGATTAAAATTGACAGGATGCATGTGTATTTGCCTCTGATAACCCAGAAGTCACAAGTGATCACCCTTCCTGCTTCTTAATGGTTGCAGTTTCCAAAATAAAATAATGCAATGGTTTGAATTTCAGATTCCAGATTATTTCAGGAAATGAAAGGCATTTCACCTCTTTCATGGTTCCAAACCAAATGAGAATAGCATACTGTGTTCTTAGAATATGGAGTAGCAGTGCAAGTTTACCTGAAATTACCGACAAAACCATATATTTGTGGAAAGGCATATGTGCTGGCAAGATACAGTCAACAGATACTTTGATGAAAGAGGCCGAAACTAATCAAAGTTAATCACCACCATTGATTTATGTATTGCTAGTCACTAACAAACCTGGATCGTGAGAATCCCCTAAATCACGGTTCCGTATCCGAAGTAGGTTTAGGTTTAGGTTTACTGGTCTGGTCTAGGTAACAAGAGTGAAAATTATGAACGTAAAATAGGATCCGGTTAAACAGTACGCAAACGATCCTGAGCTCAGCTCTACCAATCACCTTGACACGATCAGCTTCAGCTTCTTGTGTCCTTTAACATTGGAAAGACAAGTAACTTCATTCCAAAGAATGCCCACACTTACAGGCATGACATGAGAATAGTTTGACTAAATTAAGCAACTTTTTCATATACTCTAAGAGGCAATAATGGGTAAAGTAGCAATATAAGTTCTTTTGACCCATTCTTCTGGAGTAAGAAAAATATATACCTAACCACCAAGGTTATGCACTCAAATCTGCATGGCATGACTCTGCAAATACTCTAAGAGGCAATAATGGGTAAAGTAGCAATATAAGTTCTTTTGACCCATTCTCCTGGAGTAAGAAAAATATATACCTAACCACCAAGGTTATGCACTCAAATCTGCATGGCATGACTCTGCAGTTGATGCAAAGATTTTTCCTGTGTGGGCTTCTCCAAAACTTCAGTTTTGCAGGGGCCAGAACAAAATTTGTATTTGTATTCCAAAAAAATAAAGATTAGATATCTCCAATTTCTTTTAATACCAGATTACTGGTCTGCAGGAATTGCTTGTGGTATGTGGGTTATATATACATGAGGTACATCATGTTGCTAAGACAGGTTTTGCTTTCCAAGATCTCACAATGTTTCTCTACCCTCCTCTGGAATGGAAATTGAAAGGATATAAGAATATATTCTGATAAGAACACTCTAACATGGAAGTCACCAGCAATTGTCCTTCCAGATTCCAAAATGAAAGATTTCAATGGTATTCATTCAGCATGATTCCAAGTGCTGGAGAAAGAGAGAGCCTTATTGTGGAAGTCTATTTATTAACCTTCATGATTTTTTGTATCTACAATGATCTTGTAGTTAATAAATTAATGTCTTAAATACTTTTTGACTTTTTTCCCAATGGATTAAATAAAAAATAGAAAATCCAAATCCGAACATTTCCATTTCCAGGCATCACTTCATGATCACTTCACTCTGATACCATATACCGCCGTATGGTGTACCCATTCGGGTACACCCCAAAATTCGGGACTACCCGAATATAAGGGAAAAAGTACCTTTTTCCCAATGGGGTATATTCTCAATGGGTTTATACCCCATTGGGAAAAAAGTGTAAGAATGGCATCAAAATCCCCTTTAGTTGGTGAAAACACAACAAGGAAATATTTGCTCCTTTTTTTGTCTTCTTTTTTCCAGAAGAAGTCCATTGTCCAATCTTCATCCAAATCAGCATCCAGGAATATTGCATGCCTGATTTCCTCAATAATTCTCTTCTCCATATTCTCCACTTCCCCTTTCTTTGTGTGTGAATATATGTGGAGGAGAATCAGCTTATTCTTGTTCTTCTCCATGAAGTTGAGCAGATCAGATCGTGAGAGAATCTTAACCTGGTAAGAGAAAGAATCTCATGAGAAATATTGATAAAAACCCTCCCATCCACTATCTCAACTGGTCAGGTTGAGATGGGTCCACTCGGATATGCATCCCTTCATTGCTGAAGGGATGCCCCTTCACCCATGGCTCCAAGTGGACCCATCTCTGACCCTGACCCTGCAATGTATGTATGGGAAGAGCTCTCTATGAGCCGTCCTAGGCAGTCGCAGTATGTGCATGATTCCCTAGGTGTCACCTATGCCAAGATGTCTGACGGCAAGACAAGAAACATGGCGATTTGTAGTGGGGATCATTTTGTGGAATAAGTCTGGCCATCATCATCCTGTAACTTGTACGTGGTGCTTTCTAAAAACATTTTTTTCTTGGAAATTGGACGTCACGAACTCGAAAAATAATCTCTGTTAAATGTGCCATGAGGGTAGATGTGAGATTAGTCTAACTACGCTTCCTGGATGAGAGGTCTGGAAGACCAGGGATTAACCCTTTTAAGTTGGTCCGTAAGTTGTGGTTGGGATTGGGTTGACTACTAGTCATTGTAGTACTATTATGGTGACTAGTATATCTAATCCATTGGATATCTAAGATGAATACCTAGTGAATGTCCAATGACTCTCTCACATGGATCAGTGAAGGTGCACTTCCATATGGCCATCCAATGGTTTTCCCATACTGAGTCTCCAATGGATCTGAAGAAATGGACATCCAATGGACATGCCCAAGGATTATCCTTGGATGAGACATTTAGTCATCCAGGGGATGTCCAAGGAGGATATGCATTGGATGTCCATGAGGGTATGTCCAATAGATTTTTTTTGGATCAAAATGGCTACTTGTGATCTGTATGTATAGCCTAGGCTTCAAGGGGGTCATCATCACCGGTGTATCAACAGTAAAGATTGTAACAGTAAAGACCATCAGCTAGCATAACATACTTCCTTAGTAACTCAGCCCTGAGCTTTACAGAAAGTTCTATTCAACTCAGATATTTTGCTCTTTAATATATGTAGATAATTTCCTGCCCTCTTAAAATGAGACTTAGTATGCCCCGAAATCACAGCATTTGCTCAACAAAGTTTTTCTTTGCACATCAAAATTTCTCCTGGAATAGGCATTGTGTGTATGTCATAGATCTGTGAATCTCCATCCATGTTACTTTCATTTTCTATTCCTCAGTAAGATATGGAGCCATTGTTTTTATAGTTCTCTATTATATGTTGAGGAGAAAGGTAGAGGACGGCCATTAGGAATCAGAGTCATATAAATGGATCACTCTGTATTACAAGCATGAAGCACAAAAGAGGGGGGAGACTAGACAGTATGTAAGAACCTTGATTTTGAGTTCTGGTGAATGTATTTGTAAACTTATTTGCATCTCATTGTATCTTTTTGGTTTTCCTTTCAGGACTCTTTGATATTTGGACTTGGAGCAACTTTCACATTTACTATATTTCTTCTGTTGCAGATAGCTATTCTGGCATCTACTATCCGAAATATGGAGGGGAAGAAAGCAGTCTCAACTCTTATGCATCAGCTCATGGATGATGGAGCTGCCCTTCACTTTATTTGCAAGTCCACAAGACACAAGGAGAAGCAGGCCCTTAAAGACCTGGGCATCTTTGACCTCATATCAAGTATGTTTATTGAAAATTTGTGTCATAAGTGCAATTGGATTTCTCAGTTCTTAGATGTCAGTTCTACATTAACCATTCAACATATAAAAGATTATCTTATTCTGGGAAACTCTTTCAAGTGAAATAATGTTTTTATATTGCAGAAGCCATTGATTGCAGTGGAAAAGCTGCTTCCATGTCTCAACAGGAGAGAACCATCTTTGTTGGTGACTAGTTTCATCAGGCTAAGCAGTGCCTTCATCAGTAGGAACGTGCACAAATGTGATTCTTTGTGATTCACTTGTTCAAAATTGATGGCACAATACAAAATTATGAAGCCTTGGTTATACTTTTGTGTCTGTCACATCTGTCAGAACTATACGGCCTGGTAATCTATAATGAATACAGCTTCTTTTATGAAACATTCCACCTTGAGAAAATGAGGATAATGGGAGCCAATCAAATCTTTTAACACAGGCCTTCTTAGTTAGTTCAGAGGCCCATTCATGCTGATTTGGTTATTTCTTTTTTATGGAAGCCTTATTTGCATGTCACTGCATGTCATAAATTCACCGGTGTGTGGACACGAAAATCAGCTTCAATCCTCTTGGTCAAGGTTGAAGGGTGTAGAGATACAAATTTAACAGGTTATTGATACAATGACCTTGTAAAAATCAACATGAATTTCTTGTTAAATTCCCTCAATATACAGGTATACTTTTATGGAGAGATACACAACTGACGAGTTATTGATGCAGTAACTTCTCAGTATGAATGTACGTTTCACGTCACATCCACTTGCTATTGTAGATTTGTCCACATCAAGTTGATATGAATTAAAAATAGTTGTGCTGCCTGGGCTTCCCCTGGTACTGAAGGAAATTCTAAGTCTTAAGAAGTTTAAAACCAAACTAAAGAATCACTTTCTTTTTAATCAGATTTAACACATCTTCAGATAAAAACAATTTTAATGAATAAAAAAGCTTGATGAGGGGTAAATTTTATAATAGTAAACCAACCCGGGCAGGCCAGGACTATCCTCTCGCTTTTTGACAAACCCTCAAATTGAAGCAGCACTATTACCTTTTTCCCTTTTCCATTAATTTGTTAAAATTTATACTCTCTCCTCCAAAATTCACCCACTGTCTGCAAGTATTATTTGTTCTTAGACTGCTTGTTGTTTTTTTGTGTATGCATGCACATCAGGATCGTCTATTTTTCCCACACCAAAGTTCTGAGTGTACATTTTCCTGTATGTGTTCCCTAAAAAGTGTAGCTGCAATCTCTCCCTCAAAGTTCTACCTTTTCCTTTTCATAGGAATTTAGTAAAACTCGGTACAATAGACCCCCTACTTACGCAAATTTGACTTTCTAGTTTCTCGTGTTCACAAATTTGGCATACAAGAGGTTTCTCAGGAATGCAACCCTCATGTAGGTCTGTAGTCTACAGAAATAAGTGTGGCAGTTTTTCATATACTCTACATATCAATATCAGATACTACATATCTAATATATGTTCTACCTCAAGATTTCTCTATTTTATTGATTGCCAGTGTCCTAAAGGAGTATATGAGCATGAATATGGGAAAAAGTATTTGGGCACTTATACCCCTTTTCTAGTTAACTCGTGATGAAAGACTTCACAAGAAGATGACAGTGACCTAGGACAGGTGATAAGTGCTGTACAGTTGTTCATATTGAGTATCTCATGAGGACTTCATATGGGAGGAAAAACCAGACAGTTGACATAACCTAAATGCATGGGCCTCCCCAATGGTGACAGGAGACAAATTTTCTTAATAAAAAAAAAAATTCCAAATAGATCTGGAAGCCCCCAGTGCCTCACTCAGCTCCGAGTTATGATATTAGATCCCCTTGAGAAAATTTAGGAACTGTCTATGCCAGAGGTCATTGATAGAATGCATATAGTACAAAATAAAAATACTAATAAAAATAAGTTCCTTAAATTAGCATCCAATTCAACTTTAACACTTTCTTACCAAAGGCGTTAAAGGTCATCAGCTACACTCTTATTCTTATGAAGCTATCAAGTAGGCTTATCAGAGTAAAGTAGTCATTATCAAGAACTCTTTCATCAGTGGTGTATTTTACGGGAGGTGGGGGGGGGGGGGGGGGGGGGGGGGGGGGGGGNCTTTTGGATAATTCCATTTCAAATCAGGCAGTGTCACGGTTTTTCCATCAGGTCATAGTCTTGGATTTTTTTCAAAAAAATGTATGTGATCCCCCTTTCAAATGATGGAAAATGGTATCTTATTTACCTATGTATCTGCAATAGTGTCGGAGAAAAAAATTCACAAGTGCAGGGCTCTAAAAAGGACGACTTGTGAAATTCCTGTTTTCTCCCACTTTCACTTTGCTTTATCTTCCAAAGTCATAGGCATAGATTCCTGAATTTTTTCTCGCATACTTGAATGTACGTCTTGTGGAAGCATTTGAGAAAAACCTAAGTTATAATTTCATAAATACGTAATTTTGAATTTTTAAAAGTGACGAAACTGCTGAATTTGCTGGTTTTTGCTGAATTTTTTTGCCAGTTAAATTTGTATCCCATCTTGAATCAAGTATATTTTCATGAACTACAAACATTCGTGCATCTCTTGTTGTCATTTGGCATTCATATCATTAATGCTTAATTTAATATTAACTTGCAACTTTTGTCAATTTCCGAAAAATAGGTGAAAAAGAAAATTTTTTTCTCAAAAAAACCCATATTTGATTTTCTTCATTTCTTCCTTGTTGATACTAGAAGGCACCAGTTACAGCGTGGTATAAAAACTTCCTTCTCGATTTGCCTCATTACCAAGTTGATTTACCATTTACCACTCATTTACCATTGATTTTTAAACATGCACATTTTCCGACGACGTTGAGGGAAACAATAGTCACGCAATCGTTATTGATTTTTAGCTGTATGTGGCCAGCCATATGTGGAGATGATAAATTCGACAATATCATGTTTACATCTACCCTGATGCAATGGTCAAATTTCGTAACATGTGAAAAATGCACCACCTAGACCACGTGATTCTTCCTTTGTACAGCCGGCTTGGAATCGTGCACACCGTCACCTGCACCCCTGACCTCGCCTCCCGACACGCCCTGTTACGCCCCTCCCAACAATGCCCTAGTAGTCTACTTCAACCTCCCCATAATGATTTCACAGCCAGACGTTTGAGTGTTGTTTGTCCCAACGTCGAGGACCACCGACCAGACGCTATCTCTCACGTGTTGGATCCTTGCATCGGGGGTTTGGCTGGCAGAACCCTGGGCTTCTGAATATTTTCCCATTGCTGCCTCAAGACGCCTGACGTTCAAGTCACAGACTATTACAAGGACCCGCGTTTTCCCTCTCCTCTTCAAAACGGCCTGATTCTTTCCTGCCGACCACACACCTGCTCTCTCCCCTCCTTTCGATCCTTAATCCAAGTCGACTTCCCTCAACCCGTGAAACATGTTTCGATATCATTTACCATCTCCTGCGATAGCTAAGCCTTCACCCCCCTTTACGACCTTTGCCCAATTACTAGCCGCCTGGGAGTCGGCCGCGTTGTCAAAGGACGAAAGGGTCACCCTCCCAGTAAAGTCCGGAAGGGTGGGGAACCCCCGGAGTGCCTCCTCCACCCTACTTAACCTCGGCACTAAATCACCCCTCGGAATCTCACCCACCAACTTCCTGATCCCTCTTATCTCCTACTCGACGCTAAAGGGACAGAATCTTTCTTTTTTTGTTGGTGAATGTGACAGTATTTCTTGACATATGCACCTGCTTTAGCAGCATGATGCCAAGACTCTCATTCAGTTCCGATCGCATTCGGTGTGCTGACTATGAGCGACTGCACAAGAAAGTGATTTACAAGAAGAAACATGGGCATTCAAATTTTAGGTAAGTGAAGGACTTTGCTAGTACGTTGCGACGACTCGGGTTTACTTCTGCTTCAACTAGTGATGAACTGAGTTCCGACTGCTATAAACATTATGAAACATTAGTGAATGCCGAAACAGGACCAGCATCATATGGTGAGAACCCAGGAACTTCAGGAACCAAGAACTCGTGCAGGCGGTAAATGAAAGCGTGTCTGTTTGAAGTGGACATCGTACTTGGGCCACGCGATTTCAAACGACCACATCACCATTGCAAGGGATTATTACCTGGACGACAATCTGGACTGTTCGCGGCAGAGCCCCAACAAAAGTGACGTCATTAATGAGTTTGAAAATGGTGAGAAAACCAAGAAAGTGAAGCGATTCATGACTAGGACACTGAAGGAAACATTCAGGATATTCAAGAAAGCTCATCCAGACATAAAATTGGCCACTCCAAGTTTTATTCACTGCGTCCAAAGTGTGTCAAGATTCACCCATCCCATGAGGTGTGCATTTGTATTTATTGCAACAACATGGAGCTGTGTTGCACTGCTCTCAGCAATTTTCTAAATAAGGCTGTGAACATGAATGATCTCTTCCAATTATGTTAATGTCCTGTTCCTTCTGATGCCTGCTGGCTGCAAGAGTGCCAGGAATGTCAGGGGAGTGACGGAATATCAGTGGAGAGCCTAAATCTGGATGACTGTGACTCCCAGGAGATCCATTTTGCAATGTGGGAAAATGGATTTTTGATCAAGAAAACTACGCCCATTGATGCCTTCGTTGAGGAGGTGACGAAGTGGACTCTGAAAATGATATCCCATCAATACATAAGAAACATTCAAGTCAAAGACGTGAAGAGCAAATGCAAAGAAGATAGTTCTGTATTGATCATGCATTTTGATTTTGTGGAAAACTGGACTATCGTAATGCAGAATGAAGTGCAGAACTACCACTGGGTCAGTTCACAACTCAGCATTTTCACATGCGTAGCATATTGGGGCAATACTGTCGCCAATTTCGCAGTAGTCAGTGATGACCTGCTTCATGATACGGTACATGCGCATGTGGCTATGACGACAGTTGAGTCATATGCAGCTACACTTCATGGATGCATATTTCAATTCACCACATACGTATCAGATGGAGCAGCCAGCCATTTCAAAAATCATTTTCAGCTTTATGAACTGAAAACAACCAGTGACACAAAAAGCAAATGGCTTTTCAAAAAAATCAGGAATCTATGCCTATGACTTTGGGAGATACAGCAAATTGAAAGTGGGAGAAAGCAGGAATTTCACAAGTCGTCCTTTTTAGAGCCCTGCACTTGTGAATTTTTTCCCCCAACACTATTGCAGATACAGAGGTAAATAAGATACCATTTTCCATCATTTGAAAGGGGGGATCACATACATTTCTTTTGGAAAAAATGCAAGACTATGACCTGATGCCAAAAACCGTGAC